TATCAGTATGTAGTGTCTCTACTTTAAAGAGTCCTCTCCTGCTGATGTTCAGGTGTATATCAGTATGTAGTGTCTCTACTTTAAAGAGTCCTCTCCTGCTGATGTTCAGGTGTATATCAGTATGTAGTGTCTCTACTTTTAAAGAGTCCTCTCCTGCTGATGTTCAGGTGTATATCAGTATGTAGTGTCTCTACTTTAAAGAATCCTCTCCTGCTGATGTTCAGGTGTATATCAGTATGTAGTGTCTCTACTTTAAAGAGTCCTCTCCTGCTGATGTTCAGGTGTATATCAGTATGTCGTGTCTCTACTTTAAAGAGTCCTCTCCTGCTGATGTTCAGATGTATATCAGTATGTAGTGTATCTACTTTAAAGAGTCCTCTCCTGCTGATGTTCAGGTGTATATCAGTATGTAGTGTCTCTACTTTAAAGAGTCCTCTCCTGCTGATGTTCAGGTGTATATCAGTATGTAGTGTCTCTACTTTAAAGAGTCCTCTCCTGCTGATGTTCAGGTGTATATCAGTATGTAGTGTCTCTACTTTAAAGAGTCCTCTCCTGCTGATGTTCAGGTGTATATCAGTATGTTGTGTCTCTACTTTAAAGAGTCCTCTCCTGCTGATGTTCAGGTGTATATCAGTATGTAGTGTCTCTACTTTAAAGAGTCCTCTCCTGCTGATGTTCAGGTGTATATCAGTATGTAGTGTCTCTACTTTAAAGAGTCCTCTCCTGCTGATGTTCAGGTATATCAGTATGTAGTGTCTCTACTTTAAAGAGTCCTCTCCTGCTGATGTTCAGGTGTATATCAGTATGTAGTGTCTCTACTTTAAAGAGTCCTCTCCTGCTGATGTTCAGGTGTATATCAGTATGTAGTGTCTCTACTTTAAAGAGTCCTCTCCTGCTGATGTTCAGGTGTATATCAGTATGTAGTGTCTCTACTTTAAAGAGTCCTCTCCTGTTGATGTTCAGGTGTATATCAGTATGTAGTGTCTCTACTTTAAAGAGTCCTCTCCTGCTGATGTTCAGGTGTATATCAGTATGTAGTGTCTCTTTAAAGAGTCCTCTCCTGCTGATGTTCAGGTGTATATCAGTATGTAGTGTTTCTACTTTAAAGAGTCCCTCTCCTGCTGATGTTCAGGTGTATATCCGTATGTAGTGTCTCTACTTTAAAGAGTCCTCTCCTGCTGATGTTCAGGTGTATATCAGTATGTAGTGTCTCTACTTTAAAGAGTCCTCTCCTGCTGATGTTCAGGTGTATATCAGTATGTAGTGTCTCTACTTTAAAGAGTCCTCTCCTGCTGATGTTCAGATGTATATCAGTATGTAGTGTATCTACTTTAAAGAGTCCTCTCCTGCTGATGTTCAGATGTATATCAGTATGTAGTGTCTCTACTTTAAAGAGTCCTCTCCTGCTGATGTTCAGGTGTATATCAGTATGTAGTGTCTCTACTTTAAAGAGTCCTCTCCTGCTGATGTTCAGGTGTATATCAGTATGTCGTGTCTCTACTTTAAAGAGTCCTCTCCTGCTGATGTTCAGGTGTATATCAGTATGTAGTGTCTCTACTTTAAAGAGTCCTCTCCTGCTGATGTTCAGGTGTATATCAGTATGTAGTGTCTCTACTTTTAAAGAGTCCTCTCCTGCTGATGTTCAGGTGTATATCAGTATGTAGTGTCTCTACTTTAAAGAGTCCTCTCCTGCTGATGTTCAGGTGTATATCAGTATGTAGTGTCTCTACTTTAAAGAGTCCTCTGCTGCTGAAGTTCAGGTGTATATCAGTATGTAGTGTCTCTACTTTAAAGAGTCCTCTCCTGCTGATGTTCAGGTGTATATCAGTATGTAGTGTCTCTACTTTAAAGAGTCCTCTCCTGCTGATGTTCAGGTGTATATCAGTATGTAGTGTCTCTACTTTAAAGAGTCCCTCTCCTGCTGATGTTCAGGTGTATATCCGTATGTAGTGTCTCTACTTTAAAGAGTCCTCTCCTGCTGCTGTTCAGGTGTATATCAGTATGTAGTGTCTCTACTTTAAAGAGTCCTCTCCTGCTGATGTTCAGGTGTATATCAGTATGTAGTGTCTCTACTTTAAAGAGTCCTCTCCTGCTGATGTTCAGGTGTATATCAGTATGTAGTGTCTCTACTTTAAAGAGTCCTCTCCTGCTCATGTTCAGATGTATATCAGTATGTAGTGTATCTACTTTAAAGAGTCCTCTCCTGCTGATGTTCAGGTGTATATCAGTATGTAGTGTCTCTACTTTAAAGAGTCCTCTCCTGCTGATGTTCAGGTGTATATCAGTATGTAGTGTCTCTACTTTAAAGAGTCCTCTCCTGCTGATGTTCAGGTGTATATCAGTATGTAGTGTCTCTACTTTAAAGAGTCCTCTCCTGCTGATGTTCAGGTGTATATCAGTATGTAGTGTCTCTACTTTAAAGAGTCCTCTCCTGCTGATGTTCAGGTGTATATCAGTATGTAGTGTCTCTACTTTAAAGAGTCCTCTCCTGCTGATGTTCAGGTGTATATCAGTGTGTAGTGTCTCTACTTTAAAGAGTTCTCTCCTGCTGATGTTCAGGTGTATATCAGTATGTAGTGTCTCTACTTTAAAGAGTCCTCTCCTGCTGATGTTCAGTTGTATATCAGTATGTAGTGTCTCTACTTTAAAGAGTCCTCTCCTGCTGATGTTCAGATGTATATCAGTATGTAGTGTATCTACTTTAAAGAGTCCTCTCCTGCTGATGTTCAGGTGTATATCAGTATGTAGCAGAGGTGTGGACTCGAGTCACATGACTTGGACTCGAGTCAGACTCGAGTTACCAATTTGATGACTTTGGACTCGACTTGACAACATCACAAAAGACTTGCGACTCGACTTGGACTTGAACACCAATGACTCGGGACTTGACTTGGACTTGAGCCTTCTGACTTGAGGTGACTTGATAATTTAATTCAGGGGTCTCCAACACGCCGATCGCGAGCTGCCGTTAGGAGAGCAGAATCTTCAGCCGCTGCAACTCTTGCTGAGAATCCATGCAGGCAGGGGCGGGACTTTATTTTGCTGAGCCACCATGCGGCCAATCATATGCGAGGACACACTAGGATCATACCATTATGTGAAAGAAGGGTGGGGGGCAGACGCTCCAAAGACAGCAGGTGTAGTGGTACAGGCCAGATACACAGAGCGACGGGGAGACGGGGAAACGGATTTAAATGCAAGCGCGTCGGAAAAAGTCAAGAAATTTGCGAAAACCGAAAAAAGAAGCAGCATCTGGCTGCATTTCAATGATATTGGAGAAAGCAAAGCTGAGTGCAGGATTTGTAAAATGAAAATAACCTTCAGAGCAGGGTTTTTTTTTTGGTAACCACTCAGGATTTATTGCCAGAGGTGGGAGAAGTTCAGATCTTGTACTTGAGTAAAAGTACCAGAGTGTAGGAATACTCGGTTACAATAAAAGATCCTGCATTCAAAATGTTACAAGTAAAAGTACAAAAGTATTATCATCAAAATATAGTTAAAGTACCACCTGCAGAGGGATCTAGATTCAGGTGTTCTTTTCCCCATAGAGACGCCTCGCTGCACATTATCCCTTGCATAAAGATAGATTGTGGGTCCCTTATAACATGCTGTACACAGTGGAAATAAACATTCTGGCTACCTCAACATCAGGGATCTTATCCATTAAACTCCTTCTGAATCAAACCGTCACGGTAGCCTAACCTTACTGATCCCTCTTACAATAGAAGAAAAAACGTTACTTTACCAGCAGAGAGAAAATAGATTATTACAGTATTAATGTGACTAATAAAGAGCAGTTTGATTATTAAGTATTATTCTGTTGATCGATGTCATTACATTTGTTGAAAAGCACATAATGACTTGTTTAAGACTCGTTTTGTCAAAGTTTAGGACTTGGACTTGACTTGAACTTTCCCATCCTGACTTGAGACTTGACTTGGACTTGAGCCCAAAGACTTGAGACTTAACTCGGACTTGCAAAACAATGACTTGGTCCCACCTCTGGTATGTAGTGTCTCTACTTTAAAGAGTCCTCTCCTGCTGATGTTCAGGTGTATATCAGTATGTAGTGTCTCTACTTTAAAGAGTCCTCTCCTGCTGATGATCAGGTGTATATCAGTATGTCGTGTCTCTACTTTAAAGAGTCCTCTCCTGCTGATGTTCAGGTGTATATCAGTATGTAGTGTCTCTACTTTAAAGAGTCCTCTCCTGCTGATGTTCAGGTGTATATCAGTATGTAGTGTCTCTACTTTTAAAGAGTCCTCTCCTGCTGATGTTCAGGTGTATATCAGTATGTAGTGTCTCTACTTTAAAGAGTCCTCTCCTGCTGATGTTCAGGTGTATATCAGTATGTAGTGTCTCTACTTTAAAGAGTCCTCTCCTGCTGATGTTCAGGTGTATATCAGTATGTAGTGTCTCTACTTTAAAGAGTCCTCTCCTGCTGATGTTCAGGTGTATATCAGTATGTAGTGTTTCTACTTTAAAGAGTCCCTCTCCTGCTGATGTTCAGGTGTATTTCAGTATGTAGTGTCTCTACTTTAAAGAGTCCTCTCCTGATGATGTTCAGGTGTATATCAGTATGTAGTGTTTCTACTTTAAAGAGTCCCTCTCCTGCTGATGTTCAGGTGTATTTCAGTATGTAGTGTCTCTACTTTAAAGAGTCCTCTCCTGATGATGTTTTGTGAAGGGAACACAGTCATTTTATACTTTGCAGACCATTTACATGCACAAATAGATACAGACATGTTTGTTATCATACTGTATTTGGTCTTTTGGCACATTCATGTTTTTTACCTCAAATAAGATGAAATTTGCAGAAAAATCAGTAGTACCATGTGATCAAAGACTTAATATAGTAATAAAATAAATACATACTTTTTTAATTTAATGTTTTTACCTATTTTAAAAGTTTTACGGTTCAAATGTATTAATGTTTTCAGAGGGAGAAACATGAACGTCAGAAAAGCTGTTGTACAAAAAATGAGTCAAAGAGACAAGGGTTTATTTTTTACTGTCAGTATTTTATTTCAAAGCGCCCTCCCCGAACACTTTGAAGTAAACGGTAACAAACTAAAAAGAGAAATCCCTCCAGCGGGTTCTTCTCAGAAGAAAACACCTCCTGGGTCAGAGAGTAATGATTCAATCGCTGAATCACCAGTGATCTCTTTTATTCGAGGCTTTGACCGAAACACACCGCGACACACAGAAAACACACAACCCATCGTTAGCCTCTTTTGAACCGAGAGGCGCCAAAATACCGAAGAGACACAGAGAGCGGACATGAGTTTCAGGAACCAAAAAAACACCAAAACTGATCGTGAAATAAAAAAAGAAACTGCTGTAGAAACATTTGATAAAAAAAGAAAAAAAGTCAGCAAGAAATTAAACCATTTCAAAAAGAATAAGGCTGCACAATGAGGCACACATGTAACAGAAAGGCAAAATGGACGGGTGCAATATTTAAATCGCAGGAAGCACAGTATTTGATAAAGGCTAAATGTGTGTTACATAAGATGGTGGAAATGAGGAGATATTCCAGCTTAGGGATTGTATTGAGATGTGACCAAAAGTGAAGAGCTTTTGTTTCAAGTTCGGCAATTAAAGTCATAATTCTGACACCGCGACACAAAGTCAGTTCTGACTCTAATCGCAGAATTCGGAGAAAAAAAAAGTCAAAAAGTCAAAAAGTTTTTCACAGAATTCTGACTTTAAAAAAAAAAAAAAAAGAAATCATCAACTTTTGGTCGGATCTCAAAGGAAATGTCGCTTGACCCTTATTCTCTTCCTAAGAAATCACAACATGATCATTTTCCTCATAAATCCATAATCGTGCACACTGAATTAGAACCTTCTTAACGGTGCAAGAAACACAATGGAAACATCGGATAAAAACAGATTAGTTAGAAAGTCAGAAATAACACCTTTACAGAGAGAATGATGCAAAGATGATAAATCCCTCCTTTAAACTGATCACAAAAATCTGTCAAAAATAATAGTAATTATTTGTAAATTGTGCCAAACGAAACCAAAGGAAGGGAAACCGTGAACGCCTGTGTGCTTTTCTCCAGCGAGCGACAGCAGGTCAAAATCTGAAATGGAAGGAAATGTCAGATATTGACCGTACAGCCGGAGTAAAGTCTCTCTTCCTCTCTGCAGGGTTTGTTGGGTGTAAAACTTAATTCTAACTTTCTTAACGGTGCAAGAAACAATGGAAACAGCTGTAGAAACATGTAGAAAAACCCAAAAGATCAGTTAGAAAGTCAGAAACAACACCTCTACAGAGAGAACGACGCAAAGATGATCAGAACATCTGTCAAAAATCATAGTAAAGTTTCTAAACTGTGCAAAATGAACGCCTGTGTGCTTTTCTCCAGCGAGTCAATATCTGAAAATGGAAATGTCAGATATGGACCGTTGAGCCGGAGTAAAGTCTCTCCTCATCTTCCTCCTCCTCCTCTCTGCAGGGTTTGTTGGAGCCACTGAGCTGTGATGTCGTCCGTCCCCCCCCCAAAACCCACATTTAGGGCATGGCGGGGTCAGCGATGGCGTGCGCGGGGTCGCAGGTGAAGGACACGGTGATGGCGAACCTCGTTCCCCACGAAACCTTCTCCACCCGATGGAGGTTCTCCGTGCCCGAAGAGAAGAAGGAGACTCGTCCTGAGGAGGAAACAGACGGACATTTTAGGAGAGAGGAGAGGAGATGTACACGGAAATATGCTGAAAAAGACGGACTTAATATATATAAATATTCAGGATGTGGTGCGAGGACTGGAGGCAGGAGAAATAAATAAATAGTGACAGAACTTTTTACTAATTTATGTTGCTTTCCGGGAAATGTTTGCTTTCTTTCCAACTTACTATTTCAGTATTATTATAGTTGCACTGAACTGGAGACAAGGCAATTGTACTGGTAGCAGGAGAAACATTACAATTGTTTTAAAAAATACATTAGGTTATGAAACACACCAACAAATATGTTTTATAATTTACAAAATACATCTTGTTTTAAAGAAACATATTGGAAGCAGGAGAAATGTCTGAATGTTTAGGAAAGGGCACTCAAGTTCAGAGACCAAATACCCCAATCATTTCCATATGTTTCTTGTTTTTTGAAGATAAAAAGAGGATGTGGTTAGCCTAGCTTAGCATAAAGACTCTAGCAGGAAGCTTAGCAACCAACAGCCAATAGAAATCCTTGATGTTGGTCCATCAGATATTTTTGCATAATGTTTGAAAGTGTCTAGTCGGGTAAAAGCCTAACTTTGGTTTGCTCTATGCTAATTTGAACTGGGGTCAGGGGCGCACCTTGCGAACAGGTAACTGCTTGGGGCCCCGGACCAGAAGGGGGCCCCCCCAAAGAAGGTCCACAGCAACGACAACATGAAACACCCTTTCATTTACTGCAACGACATGTCGGGAAACCCCCTACATGTCGGCTGTGCGTGGTGATGAAAAGCTGGTTCGAGGGGCCCCCCAGTGAATGTTTGCCTAGGGCCCCCACAGACTCTAGGGCCCCCACAGACTGGGGTAAATCCAAAAGGCTGTTTTCGACTCCCCAAAAGTTTCTGCACCAAATGGTTGAAATTCAGCGCTAAAAATACAATGTATTCATGGTTTTACAGCTGAAAAGACAGCAAGAGAGCCAGAGTTGGAGTAAGTGGATTCAAAGACAACGGGGGGACATTTTATCGGGGACATTTTAAAGATTGTTTTATCCCCTTACCCTGAGCTCTAGGCATGTGTACTGTAACTGTAATTTACACCTGATAATCATGGTGTAGCCTTACTTTGGTTAGCTCTATGCTAACTTGAAATGGGGTGAATACACTAAATCCAGAGACTTCCCTAAAGTTTCTGCACCACATGGTTGAGATTCTGCTAGAAAAACAAGTCCGTTTGAGAGGGGTGATTCATGGGTTTACAGCTGAAAAGGCAGCCAGTGTTGGAGTAGGCTAAAGTGGATTCAAAGACAACTGGGGGGACATTTTAAAGATTGTTTTATCCCCTTACCCTGAGCTCTAGTTAGATGTACCGTAACTCTTGCTATAATGGCTAATGGTCACATTTACACCTGATTAACAGGGTCTAGGCTCACCGCTTCCATTCATCTCTCTGCTAAACTAGGCTTAACGTGTCCTGATGTGAAGTTATGCTAATCAAGAGGTTAACACGATGGATTAATAACATGACTGACATGGTTTCATCTCCTATCATTATCTCCACTTAGGTGTAAGTTCCAGTTAACATGACATATTCTCCAATTACACGTCTGTCCATGACCCTATTTCCTCCAGTCTTTATGCTAAGCTAGGCTAAGCATGCCCTGATTTAAGATAGCTTGCTTTATAAGGTAGAATAAGGATATATAGTATTAATTAGTTTTAACGTTTCTCCCGTTCCCAGTCTATATGCTAAGCGAGGTCCACCTCATCCTCACTCTGTATTTATTCCAGAGACACAAGTCAAAATGTTCTCATCTCGTTCTTGGAAAGACAGTAAATAACTCAAAGTAAACTATGCAGACTTGCTTGCAGAAGTGAAGGAAATGAAATGAAGGGAAGCTGAAACCCTGAGGAGATAAACAAGGACAAAACTCCACTTTCTTCTGGATTGTTATGCTTTCTTTTCTCTCGGACAGAAACACAGAGTGAGCTCGGGGCGGTTCCTCCGAGTAAATCATCTTTATTTAATTTTTTACGAGAGGTTTTGATTTGCAAGCTAATGAGATATGTGCCATTAAACAGCAGGAATGCAATCTGCTCTTCATGGTGACGTAGCTAGTCCCATAATAACTAGATTTATATAATTTGTATAATTTATATAAAACTGTTTTCAGACTGCTTCCAGTTTCTCCTGCTTTTGAAGGGGTTATCTCGTTATGTGAATAAAAAGCTGGAATCATTGAACCCTAAATAGTTTTTCCTCCAAGAAATACTTGGCAACTGGTGTGTGTGTGTGTGTGTGTGTGTGTGTCTGTGTGTGTGTCTGTGTGTGCGCCTGTGTGTGTGTGTGTGTGTGCGCCTGTGTGTGTGTGTGTGTGTGTGTGTGTGTGCGTGTGTGTGTGTGCGTCTGTGTGTGTCTGTGCTTGTGTGTCTGTGTGCCTGTGTGTGTGTGTGTGCGTGTGTGCACCTGTGTGTGTGTGTGTGTGTGTGTGTCTGTGTGTGTGCGTGCGTGCACCTGTGTGTGTGTGTGTGTGCGCCTGTGTGTGTGTGTGTGTGTGTGTGTGTGTGTGTGTGTGTGTGTGTGTGTGTGTGTGTGTGTGTGTCTGTGTGTGTCTGTGTGTGTGTGTGTGTGTGTGTGTGTCTCTGTGTGTGTGTGTGTGTGTGTGTGTGCGCCTGTGTGTGTGTGTGTGTGACGTCGGGGGAAATCAGCGCTCTCAGTTAACAATGGTATACACACTGGAAACCCAAACAATGAGAATAAAGAGCGTTAATAAGTGTTGGTCTGTTTTGTTGCACGTCTTTGAAAAAGAGGGCATTTTCTTTTTAATTAGCCGCACAGCTTTAGATAAATGCACGCTGGAATAATCTTTGAGAATAATCCCGTGCACGTTTTCTGAAACTCAGTCGGCAGATTAGTGGAAACACAATGAAGGGATATTCACGGAGGAATTCAACACGGTTCAAACTGCTCCAGAAATAACTCTCAGGGACGTTATTAAAAACAAACAGAGATATGTTTGAGTGTGAAAGTCTCAAAGAGAAAAGTTAAGAATAGTTTATATATCACTGGTTTCCAACTAGCACTTTTCTATCAATTAGTGACATATTTTATGGATATTTCATATTGTATTCAATGCATAACAATCAACAGTGCAGAACAACTGATCATTTGTGCAATGAACCCCAGTAGTGAAGGAACTCGGTCAAACGAGCGATTTAGGTGCATTTTTAACAGATCATTTCCTGTGAATACTGCATAAATAGTACTAGTTCTTTAACATGTCGTTTTTTGCAGTATGCATCACAATTAAAGGTCACCTATCATGCTATTTTTAGGCAATAGCATAGGTCTCAAATATATACAAATATATAAAAAACATGTCTATGAAGTGTTTTGCTCAAAATACCAAACAGATCACCCATTCTAGCCATGCCTCATATCCCTCTATTTCACTTCCTGTTTCAAAAGTGCTGATTTTGGGTATAAAGCTTTAAAAAATAAAAAAGGAGGGGTCTGAGCTCATGCGGGACCCGGCAGCTACTGTCTAAACTAAATGCTGCCGTGATGAAACGCCATATCATGGATTATCAAGGGTTATTTCTGAAACAGTATGGAGCTCAAAGGCTTTCTCTCTTGCCGGTTATACCACAAGGTGAGTTCCTTTTGATTTCCTGCTTCTTCACACACATGCTCTCCAGTACAGGTTAGCTCTGAGTGTTAGCGATGCTAATGTAAACACCGACCATATTACGTCCAAAACAGTCGGGCATTGTTTCCGATAGCAACGTTTCTGATAGGGCCGTGGGTCCACATTTCAGATATTACGTCATATCGGACGCAAATCTGGATCAGCTCCGTTGTTCCCCCGTTTTTAGAGATTTGGGTACGGAGGAAAAGAGAGAGGGTTTTATTTTCTGACGCTGTGTGAGTTCCCCGACACACCGGGGACACATGTTTATGTAGAGAAGACATCAACAAGTGCATTTTGCATGATAGGTCGCCGACACACCGGGGACACGTGTTTATGTAGAGAAGACATCAACAAGTGCATTTTGCATGATAGGTCGCCTTTAAAACCAAACCAATAGTCACATCGTTACACTCAAGCTCTGCCTGAGAAAATGGTATACTTGAAGTGCATGAATTGCTAAACGTTACTGTTGTCTTACGTCGTAAAAAGCTGCCGTGCACTTGCTGGAAATGAGGATTGCCGCTGATAGCAAGCTAGCATCGGTATTGTTAGCGTTGGGAGATCTTTACAGACTGCTGAACCAACACAATAGAAAATAATAATGGCTTAAATCAGAAAGTATAGAGGTATTATATTAAATAGCGAATAATGTAGGTGTTTTAAGTCGACCCTGATGCGTATCCATGCTAAACAAACACTGTATGGGACAAAAGGCTCCTTCAAATGTCCAAACTAGCTTATTATCAGTCAAAATATAAGTACTTATAATTGAACTTATCAGATGCGTCCCAAGATAGCATTTTGCCAACATTTTTAACCAGTATGCAACGTAAGCCTGCTCAAATGTAATTTGTCAATTCTAACACTTTTAATACCTTAATATTGACCCATTGCCTCACAGATTTATAATTGACTGGAGGGATTTGGAGAGAAGCCCTACAGTGTCTATAGATCTCAAAGTATTTTGCAATAAAAGGGCTTTTTCACGTTATAAATCATGGTTAGCAGTCGCAGTTAGCTTGTAAATTCACTGCCTATAGCTTGTTGCTATCATTGAGCAACTTCTAACTCTGTGATCAACAACTTTCTTCTCTCCAGTTCACACACCTCTAGTCTATTCCTGCTTTTAATCACAGCCCCATGACGCTAATTTGCACTTATCGAGGTCTTTAACGTCAGAGACCGCGACGAGTGTACAATGCTAACAAGATGCTAAACGGTACGTGACTCATCCGATGCCAATACTGAGATTTGCTGCAATGCACAGGACCAACCGTCCAATCGATGCATTGATAACTCCCAC